GCCCAGGCGACGCGCGTCGCTCCCTGCGCGCCCGCGCACTCACCCCGCTAGGCGGCCTCGCTTTCTGCTCCGGCTCCCTCCGCTCACTACCACCGAGGCGGGCCGCCCCTACCGTCCGCCATTCCACTCCGTGCCCTGACTGAAGCCCGCCCCGCCTCCCTCAGCACCGGTCCGCGACCCCATTGGCCCCCCGCCTCAGCCCTTCGGCAGCCGATTGGCCGCCTCGCCGCGTCCATCAAACTTGCTACGCAATTTGCGTACGCTCCCCAGCGCAGCACCAGGGCCCCACCCAAGCAAGCACCGCAAAGAGTCAACAAGGTGGAATGTGCCATATGAGCCGGGAGGGGAGAGGGCAGACAGTATTTGGATTAAACGGAACAAGATTTTCTGGAGAGGCCAATCGATTATTTTGAATTATCACGGTACTGTCACTTTATTTCACGGGGATTAGGAGCGGCCGGAAAAGATTGTGCTTCCTATTTTGAGAACTGCTCGGCCTGCCCCTTCCTGGACTCCTCCTATTACTGCACTTGGACTTTGCCCTTCTTCTCTATGGTGTGAGACCCTCCAAGGAAGGTTCCACCTGGAGGAGTGGGGGTGTCATACCAGTATGACTGACCCATTTGTGAAATAGATATGGGGGGTGCACTTGGGGTGCATCTACACAACAGGGCTTAACTGGAAATAAGCTATGCAAATTGAGCTGCGTCACCTGCATAGCTTATTTCGAAACTGGGCGCATCCACACAGCACTTATTTTGAAATAGAGCACTCTTCCTCTGAAATAGAGCACTCTTCCCCTTGCTCCTCCTACAATGAGGGTTACAGGAGTCGGAGTAAGAAATCCTCCAGCTTGCCAGTATTTCGACATTACTTTGAAATAACTGCCGGCTGTGTAGACACAGATTAAGTTATTTCAAAATAACACTAGCTATTTTGAAATAATGTTGCTGTGGAGACGTATCCTTGGGGTGCATTTACACCACACCCTTACCTCGAAATAAGCTACACAATTTGCATAGTACAAATTGTGTAGCGTATTTAGCTTATTTTGATGTCATTTCAAAATAGCTTATTTCAAAATTTGGCGCTGTCTACACCATGCCAAATTTCAAAATAAGGCACCATTCCGAAATGTCCTTCACCCTTGTGCAATGAGGTTTTCAGGGACGTCGGAATAGCAAGCCCATTATATTTCAGGACAACAGGCTTGCTCTTAAGACGCGGAATAGCTATTTTGGGATACCAGCAGTGGGCAGAAAGGGAAGGGTAAGAAAGGACAGAGGAGAGAGGTCAGTAGTGTAGCTGTGGCTAATCTAATGCCACATCTCATTAGGGACATGGAGCTTAGGTTAGGTTAGCCACTTCATTTTGTCCATTACAACACTGATTGGGGGATGGGACAGACACGGATGGTAAAGGGTGGCAATGGCTGTTGTCTTTCATTGAAGACTATGGGGGACTCCCTTTTGCCCACCACCTGGTAATGGCCCTGCAGAGGGAGCAGGGAAAGACTGGGGCTGAGATAGGGCCCAGCTGAAGAGAGAGAAGAGATGGAGAGGGCAAGGGAGGCTGTAACGATGGGGAGAACCCAGGGAGAGGTAGTCAGGGAGAAGAGGCTGGCAGAGACAATGGATCAGGAGGCAGCCCTAGTAGAGGTAAGCAGAGATGAGGAAGCAGAAAGTGGAGGAGGACCTGTTGGGGCTGAAGAGGGTGAAGGAGAAGACAGATGTGATGGTAACAATAGGGGTGGCCATACAAGAGAGGGAAAGGACCTTGCTACTGACCCAAATGGAGTTGGTTCTCGCTCCAGGGAGCGTGGTGGAGGCAGGAAGCTACAAGAACTAGAGGGGACCCTGGCGGAAGGGGATGCAGGAATTCTAAGGATGAGTTGTGGTGATGATGAGGAAGGCAACTGCTAAAAAAGAAAAGACTGCAGGATTTTGGGAGAGCCAAGGAGGTCACGGAGAAGACCCTGTTAATGGTGGGAAGGAGGTAGCCTCGGTCTGAGATAATCTGCCCCCTCAATTGCCCTTTACCTTGGGGAGCTTTCTCCACCTCCCTTCCTCACTCCCTATGGAAGAGTAGGGATATGGAGTTAGAGAGTTCAGATTGTGTTGCTACTAAACAGACAAAATCTAAGGAAATAGAAATATTTTGTAGCGGGCAGGAAGCCCTTTTTAAAATAACATCTTGTGTCCATGGTGGCATGATTTATTCCATATTCACAGGATCCTCATGTTTGGGATGCTCTCTCAATGCTGCATTACTGGCATTGCTTTTTGGGTGCAAGGCAAGACTTTTTGTTAAACCATTTTGGAGACCATAGCTTGACAGACTGAAATCCTGAAATATTTGGACTGTGCAAAGAAACTCGATACATCTGATCTAGTCCAGTTTTTGGCCCTGGTCCTGCAGGCTGATTCATGTGGATGAAACCACATTGACTTCAAGCCAGTTTGCTTGCAGCCACAGAGGTCTGTCTGTGCACATCTGATAGCAGGATTGGAGGCTTAGTCTCAGCTTCTAGCAGTTTCTGTTACATTGGTGCTGGGAGATTTTCTCTCTCCAGTAAAGCCCGGGAATTCATTTCTAATACTTTGCTAGTGGCAAAGGCAGCAAAGTCAAGTTAGCATCTCCTGGGAAGGACTAAACGATTCACCTGATTGTAACATATGTGAGTTGGGGAAAAAATTACCAATATAAAAACTGGAAAAAAAGTCGACAACGTAAGTAAGCTGTAAGCCTTCTAGAAGCAGATGTCTTCAACTCTGCAAAGACTTATGCGCATTCATCTTTTTGCATGTGAGCAGTCCCAGTAGAGCCAATGGGCATAAATTACTGAAGAGAATCAGGGTGAGAGTGGCGGGAGTACTGCACTGGGATTCTATTCCCAGGCTGCTGCTGGCTTGCTGGCAGGCCATGAGCAAGTCACTGCTTCTCTCTGTGCCTCTGTCTCCTCCCCCATCTATAGAATGGGGACAATGATGCTCCTGGCATTGGGAAAACACTTTGGCTGTGTCTACACTGGCCTGAATTTCCGGAAATGCTTAAAACAGAATAGTTTTCGTTATAAGTATTTCCGGAAAAAGAGCGTCTACATTGGCAGGCTGCTTTTCCGGAAAAGCCCTTTTTCCGGAAAAGCATCTGTGGCCAATGTAGACGCGCTTTTCCGGAAAAGAGCCCCGATCGCCATTTTCGCAATTGGGGCTTTTTTCCGGAAAAGACTACTGGGCTGTCTACACTGGCCCTTTTTCGGAACAGTGTTCCGGAATAAGGACTTATGCCCGAGCGGGAGCAGAATAGTTTTTCCAGAATAGCGGCTGATTTTGTACAGTAGAGCATCGTTGCTTTTCCGGAAATTCAAGGGCCAGTGTAGACAGCTCACAGCTTATTCCGGAAAAGCGGCTGATTTTCCGGAATAAGTGGCCCAGTGTAGACACAGCCTTTGAGATCTAGGGCAGAAAAGTGGAATGAAGGAGGCAGTAATGTGAAGGAAGCGGTAATAAGTGTGCATCACTACTGGAAACACAGATATCCCCTTCTCTGTTCAGAAATGGCACCCTCAAAGGGAAAAGAAGAAATGGGAGCCAACAGCTTCCGTGTCACAAACGGCAGGTGTGAACAGTTGAATCAGAATTTTAAACATGTACAATAGATGCACCGGAGTGTGTTATTTAACTCTTCGCCCACCCACTCACTGCAATTGTTTCCCTGGCTATAGTTTTAAGTTTCTTCACTAATTGCTTGTTTTACTTAAAATACACAACTGGCTGGGGAAAAGTAATGGACCAACATGCAGTTAACACTATAAAAGACGTACATGTCTGTCCATTCAAAAGTACTAATCCAATTTTAAAATCAACTACACTTAATAAATTGCTGAATGCTAGCCCCTAGCTTCTGGTTGGTTGTTGGTTTTTTGTTTTTTTTTCAGTTTAGAATTGCTTTGGTGCTGACTTGTATCCTTTGCAAAATGCTGCTGCTGACCCAGTACTACCAGCTGACATCAATGCAGTCCTTCCTGAATGCAAGTTCTATCCTTGGGCCAGCTTTTCTGTTTCGCAGAGATTGTGCTCTGCAAACTGGGTGTGTTTCCTGATTCTCTTTTGACCCTGGTGCAGGTTAGAGCAACCTGGGAATTGCTGTAACCAGGACTAGTTTGGCAAGAGACCATCCACTACTTCAGCAGAGCTGGAATGATTCGTGGTCCACCCACTCCTCCTTCCCTGTGCCTGCATGCTCTTCCTGGCCCCTGCAGGGAGGAGAGCATCGGAGCTGATTGTGCTTCTGGCTCAGCACCCACTCAGGACTCTCTTATCCCAAACTAGGGGGATGCAGCCAATCTCTATTCCCTTTGCATTGTATGAGCAGTACAGAGTGTAGCAGGAGAGAGAATGTGCCCCTTTGTTTTTCACACCACAGCTCTGTCTGAGACCCACTGCACACAGACATATATGATATGTGACTATTTCGCCGCATTTCTCGCCCATTCTGTCCCTCCTAGTGCACAGCCCCTTGGAAAGACAAGCCCTCTGCAGCAGTAGATCGATCCGCGGCTGAATGCTGCAGCAACTGGGGTAAACAAGCCAGTGTTCTTATCGCTCAAGAGCTCACCTATCGCCATCAGCACCCGCTACGGAACACCGCACCAACATTGCCCGGCACCCATCGCTAGCACCCCTGGGCCTGCATGCATCCCGCTTCCCTACGCCCTTGAAATAGTCAACCCTGGCAACCCGGTTCCACCCCCTCCTCCCACTTAGCCTTGCTCAAACAGCTACACCCTTTTCCTGGCAAAATCGCCCCTGCAAAGTTGAACTAATCAGGCATGCCCCACCCCTAGCCAACACCTCTCCATCTCTCTCTCCTGTGGTAACACACTTACACAGCTGTAACGCACAGACGTGGGCTCCATCTATAGGAAGGCATGAGAGGGTTCTCGCTTCCAGGTTTTCCATGCTGCCTTGAAGAGGATTTGCCTCCATCAATAGGTGTCACAGCCCCCAGGGAACCCTGTAATCTGTATCTGCACTGCAACCTTTATTGCTAGTCTGCGTGAGAGAGTCTCTTTATAACCCCTGAATTTCTGCTGAACTGCAATATCCCAAACAAAAGTGATTGATACCCCCTGACACTTGTTTCTCTATAAGGGCTGTGGTCGCCTGCCAATTGCCTTCCTGCATTTTCTGAATGTAAATGATTCTCCAGCTAAACTGCCATACAGACTGCCAAAGTGACCAGAAGAACAGCCCTACGCCAGCTGCAGCTGTGGCCATGCATCTTTTCAGCTATTTTGCTTGTGCTGTCTTTTTTTACAATGGGGGGAAAAAAAAAAATCTAATGCTTATATAAGAGGCTCGGAACGCCAGCCAATGCTATGGGAAGATGTATTACAGGCTTTTCCACAACATGCTGCCCTAACGGTAGGGCCCTATCAAATTCACGGCCAGGAAAAATGTGTCACAGACTGTAAAATCTGGTCTCCCCTGGGAAATCTGGTCTTCAGTGTGCTATACAAATTTCATGGGGGAGACCAGAGTTTCTAAAATTAGGGGTACTGACCCAAAAGGGAGTTGCGGGGAGGGGGAGTCCTCAATGTTATTTTACGGTGGGTGTGATATTGCCACCCTTCTGCTCCGCTTTTAGATCTGGGTGGACAGAAAACAGTGGCTGTTGGCTAGGCACCCAGCTCTGAAAGCATAGCCCTGCCAGCAGTGGGGCACAAGTAAGCTGGCAGTACCATACCATGCCACCTGTACTTCAGCACTGCGGTCTTCAGAGCTGAGTGTAAAGGATCCAGCTCTGCAGACAGTAGCGCAGAAGTAAGGGTGACACTACCATGCCATCCTTAGTTCTGTGCAGCTGCTGGCAGTGGCTCTGCTGTCAGAGCTGGGCTCTGGGCCAGCAGCAGCTACTCTCCAGCCACCCAGGTCTGATGGCAGCACCACTGCCAGCAGCAGTACAGAAGGGTATCAGTACCACAACCCCCCTAAAATAACCCTGTGACACTCCCCCTCCACACACACAGCTCCTTTTTGGATCAGAACCCTCCCAGTTACAACACTATGAACTAGGGATGTGAACAGGTTAACTGGTAAGCATCACACTTAATGGGTGATGTTTACCAATGATGGTTAACTGGAGGGAGCTGTAGCTGCCCCCCACCTGCCGTAGGCAGGGGGCTGCTTCAGCCCCGTGGGGCCTGCCATGGGCAGGGGGGCTCCAGCCTAGCCAGAGCATCCCCCATCTACAGTTGGCCCGGCCCAGGTGTGCTGTGGTCAGGGGTACTCCAGCCCAGCTGAAGCAGCCCCTGGCTGCAGGGGGCAGGAGGGGGCTGCTCCAGCCCGCCTCCACTTAATCAATTAATAAGTTAAACTAAACATTTAACTGGTTAAAACTAATTAAATGGGATTTGACATCCCTTCTGTGAACTTTCAGACTTAAATATCTGAAATAATGAAATTTACAATTTTAAAAATCCCATGACTGTGAAATTGACCAAAATGGACCATGAATTTGGTAGGGCCGTGCCTATGGGTGAGCTTCAATCCTGCTCATCTGGCCCTTTCTATCCCAAAACCTGACCGTTCCTGGGCATGGCCTATGATGCTAAACTAAACCAGTGAATTGTGTTTGCTAATGGCTTTGTGAACCATTGAAGGAGGCTACCAAATTACCAGAGGTCTTGTATCCAAAAGGTGTGTTGTGTCCATTGATTTCCTCCGACTACAGGAGGCTGGAATGAAGCCAGTACACACCATCCCTGTGACCTAACTCAAGTCTTGGAAAGAGGAAGCTAGTGCACTATGTCACAGTCCCATTAAACTTCCCTTTGCTACTATATTTCTCAAGCATGAACCGCATGATTGAACCATTCAGAACAGAGCAAGACACAGTCTCTGCCCCAAAGGTAAAGGAGCCTGACATGAGGTGTGGACTGACGCATCTGAGCTTAGAGCCGGGACACCTTGCAATTGTGGTTTGGTTCTGCAAATAAAATTATATCATGGCTTCATGCCCGACTTACATGCAGGCTCGTGTGTGCATCCCTGTATTTATTAATGTCCCTGGGGCCAAGGGCAGGAGAAAAAGAGACAAATCACAGCCCTAACCTGGAGGAAACCTGAAGGGTTGTGGATACGGTGCCAAGTAACCCAGGCAACGTTTAGGTCGCCCTTGTCCATGAAGAGTGAGTGGTGCGTTAGTGCTTTGTTGGTGGGGATGGATAAGAAACACTACAAAGAACAAGGCTCAGAACACATGGATTTGGGGGTTCACTGGGTATTCCTGACTGCCTTCCTCTTGTGCAGCATATCTGGGAGGACTGACTGGAAGTCAAGAGCCTAAATATCTTTGAGGCCCTGGATGTGGGATACTTCAGTGATTGGCACTATGCAAATATCTCAGCTTGGTGGAGTCCTAGCTCAGGCCCCGAGCTGGTTACGGACCATCTGTCTCTGCAGGCTGGGCAATAACTGTATGTCCCTGGTTCACAGGGCACTGAGCAGAGTTTATAAGCTTGGAAATCCTTGAGGGAAGGTGCTAGAGAAGGGCGAAGTGCTGTTGTTATGTGATGGAGCAAGCAAGAGAGGAGGTAGGGTCTGGCAACGTCCCACCGCCCAAAGCAAAGGAGCAGGCCCTTGGAATATCTGCTAGTCATTCTGCCCTACTCCGATAAGGTATATGCGCCAACAGGCGGGTGCTTCCATTGAATCAAAAGAGCCCTGAGGGTCTGATGGAATCCATGACCTGACCTGGACACCGAAGAATATGAGAAGCTGTAACAACCGCGCAGGTAAGGTGTCAGCAAGTTTTCTCTTTAATGCTTACGTGCTTAGCTTTGGGATGGAGGGGCACGAGCAGCCCTGTGATTGTATTCTTCCCTTCCCCTCCCCTCCTCCACAGCTGGCTGTGTTTGTTTCTCCCAACAGGGACCCTGGAGGGACCCCAGCCTGTGCTGGTGGAGGGCAGTTACAGGAACACAGTGGTGCAGCTGACATTTACTAATCAGCTCTAACCTTAGATCCACACACACGCTGTCTCGCTTGCTGTCTTGTCTCCATGGAGACACTGCAACCTTTGCTCACTAGTTAATGGTATCTCAGAACACGAAACTCCCAACGCCGCACCCTTCCTCCCTACACCGCTCCTGCACCCCCTTCCTCCCTACACCTCCTCCCACACCCCCATCCTCCCTA